AAAACCGTATCCCCGTGCCTCCGTTCTAAGGATCTGGCGGTTGATCAATGGGAGTTGGTGCTACCTGATGCCCTCCATGCTATCAGATCATTACTCTGTACGACTATCAACGCGACGCCTCACGAACGTATGTTTCTCCACAACCGAAAATCTGTGGTTGGCACCAGTTTGCCCCAGTGGTTATTAACACCTGGTCCTGTACTATATCGAAGAAACGTCCGATCTTCTATGTATGACCCCATGATAGAGGAAGTTATACTATTGGAGAACAGCCCCGAATACGCTCACATACGTCTCTCTAATGGGCGAGAAGAAACAGTATGTCTTCGTCATCTTGCTCCCGTAGAACGACCAAGTTCATCGCCACTCACCCCCTTCCCAGAGACATGTACGGAATCCTCTCCACCTGATTACATGCCATGCACCTCAGATTCACACAAAGTTCTGTCCGACCCGGGGGGTGATACCTTATTGCCTTCGAAACCTTGAGGTTTAACAACGCACTCTCCACTACTTATTGTGAACACTTCCCATTCTCAGTCCTCGGGATACCCAAAACAAACTTAATCGTAATCTTCGTTTTCTGAGTGACGGTGAATGTCGTAGATTTATTATTGTCCTTTCCGTTGCATAGATTGCTGTTATTCTGGACGCATATTCAAACATTTCGCTAGTCCCGTTTTAGCTCTCATGCCTCGTTTTTGGTCGATTAAAGCCTATCATTAAGGCGTTATCTTCTGGCTTGTCTGCCGACTAAACGTGTGATCTGATACACTACAAGTTCTCGCCAATCATATAAACTACTACGTTACAATTTATTCAACCAGTTACTATGGATTGGCATCTACACCCGGATCGTTTTGACACTGATCCAAACTCTCCAGATGGTGCCGATTCCTGGGAACATTGGCATTATACGTTCACTAATTTCCTAGGACTTGTGGAAGGGCAAAAACCAGACAAACTCAAAACCCTCATACACTTTTTGTCGCCTTCTGTCTGCAAATTCGTTTTACGATGCACTGATTATGACTCTGCAATTACGACGCTTCAATCCCTATACATATACAAACGAAGAACGAGATTTTCGCGCGTCGTATTCTGGCTACTTTGAAACAGAGTACCATTGAAACTCTAGATCAATTCATGCGGAAACTCAGAAACCTTGCTCCAGACTGCAATTTTAAAGCAGTCAGCGCAAAACAAAACGAGGAGGATACCATACGTGACGCGTTTATCAGTGGGCTATTATCAAACTCCATCCGTCAGCAGCTTCTTGAGAAAAAAACACTCGATGTGAGTACCCCAAAGCTCTCGATCTAGCTCAACAGCAGTCTCAAACATTCGCCCAAGCCACTCCTTCAATCTACGCTGCCGCTGCAAGCGCCCTGGACCAGACGCCTGGGACGACGTTGGCTACGTCCCGAACAAGCTGCTTCTTTTTTGGTTATGAACGACATCCTCGTCACAAGTGCCCTGCGAAAGATGCAACTTGCAAGTCACGTGGCAAATGGGGACATTTCCAGAAAGCTTGCCGGGCTCCTGCCAACTCAAAGCATACCGCAGCTACCTCACCGTTCTTC